AAACTGCGGCTTGCGAGCCACATGCGGCTCTTTGGCCACTTGAGTGTGGCTCTTCCTAAGTCTTAGGAGTACCCTAATTAAGTTAATAACAATGTACCTACCTATATAGTTTAAGTTTAAAAAATTTGACTCTCAAAAGAAATTTCAATCGTTGTACAGTTGATATTTGGCTCTGTTGACTAATGAGTTTGCCGACCACTGACGTAGGGGGATGCAGGGCCTGCCTGGACCTGAAAAGATGCACAGCCAAGTGAGAGGGATGGGGAGGCCTTGGAGACAGAGAGAAAAATGTGCGCCAAGGCTCTGAGGCTGGAGTGAGGTGTCTAGGAGGGAAGGGGTCGAGGGCGAGTGGGAGGGGGGACTTTCGACAAAGCCCAAGGAAGGGACTAGTCTTGGACAGAGGAGCGGGCAGAAGGAAGAATGATACAGAGGTTGGTTTGTAAATGGTGGGGGTGGGTGTTGAGAACTGAAGAAGGGAATGAGATGGCAGGAGACAACTTTTGTTAGCATCCTCACCACTCCCCACAGCCCTCGCTCACTCTGCCTCAGCCACACCTGCCTCTTGCTGTCCCTCCAGCACTTCCGCCCCTGCATGAGCTCTACCCTCTGCCGAGAAGGCCTCCCACCTTTGTCTGCAGGACTCACTCCTTATTATCACTCCAGCGTCTGCTTACACGTCCCTCCCTAGGGGCCTTCCTTGGACATCCTCCGCCCATTGTCACCCCATCTCGTTACCTTGCCTTTTTTTTTTAACACATCACTTTCTGACATAGAATATACTCATGAGTTTATACGCTTACTTTTCTGTTAGTGCCATAGCATGCAACTTGCAGAGAACCTATGGGGTGAATGGAAATGGAAAGGGGACAAGTCCTGCTGAGAACCTTCAACCTGGTTTCCATCCCCAGCAAGTGGCCTCCCAGGTTAACATATCCTGGGGAGACCACAGTGGGAACCTATTGGATATTCAGGAGGTCTGTGGACCCACAGCATGAACAAGGCATGCTTCCAGCCATAACCACCCCAGGCCCGATCACCATGTGAGGGTTCGGCCTCCAGTTGCAGAGGGATAGGATGGAGTCAGGTGACCTGGGGTTGAATCCCAGCTCTGCCACCAATCCCTGTTTGATCATTGTACAAACAGGGAAACTGAGGTACAGGAAGAAAAGGGCATTGTTCAGGGTCACACAGCAAGTTGGGTCCAAATCCTCCCAGTGTCCTCCTCTTAGGTCTTGAAAGTCATCTGGTCTCTTAAAATCCTCTGAATGAATAGGAGCAAGATCCACTTAGGCTCAGATGGAAATAAGAATGAAGGATAGCACACATTCCCCTCTCACCACTGCTCCCTCACGGCCATGGCAGGCATCACTAATCAATCCAGGCACTGTTTCCCTCTGACCCAGATATGGCCTCCGAATCCTGCTCAGTGCAAGCTCTGGGGAGCACCTAACAGACAAATGGATACTGAGACAAATCTGTTTGCCATTCCTATCTGAGTGGGAATTGACTGACAGGAAAGAGGAAGAGAAAAAACACATGCCAAGTACTTTTTAAGTATCAGCCATTATAACTGACTTGCCTATGCTAATTCTTACAAATCAAATTCAAAGCAGGGTTATCAATCCCATTCTATAGATGAGGAGACAGAGGCACAAAAACAAAGAAACGACCCAAAAGTCCACCAAGAAGGCATTGGGAAAATAAATAATGGCACACAAATAAAATACTTTGTAACTACAAGAAAGGATGGAGTTGACCCAGATGTCTGTTAGGGAAATATCTCCAGGATACATTACATCAGTGACCTATCACCTTGACAAAGCTGCATAAAAGACCCTCCCAAGCTCAGTGGCTTTAAAACACACACACACACACACACACACATATAAACACACAAAAAAAAACCCTACTTTATTTAGTTAATGAGTCTGAGATTCTGAGGGTCAGCAATTAGGTTGGGTTCATCTGGGCAGTCCTCTGGTCTCTGCTGGGCTCCCACATGCCCTGATGGCCAGCTGGACTGGGAGGCAGCTTTGCTGGTCCTGGCTGGGCTCTGCTCTCAGCTGGTGCAACTGGGCTGACTCCTCCCTGCTCTGCAAGCCTCTCACCCGCAGCAGGCTAGCCCCGCTTGTTCACAGCGGGCAGCAAGGCTCTGAAAGAGTCCGCAGAAGCACACAAGGTCTAGGGTCAGACCTGGCATATCATCACTTTTGCCACATTCTACTTGACAAAGCCAAGGCACATGACCAAGTCCAGATTCAGGGCAGGGAGAAATAGCGTCTGCTTCCCGATGGGAAGAACTGCTCAATCACATTAGAAAGGGCACAGGGAGGGAGGTGTGAAGGATTGTGACCATTTTTGCAATCAACCACAGACAGTAAGCCACATAAGCAAGCTGTGAAGTAATATGAAACCGATTACTTCCAAAGAGTAGCATCTATATGGTGGACAGGTTGGACATTCTCCCTTACTTTATTATACAGGGTGGGGCAAAAGTAGTTGTTCAGTTGTTTGTATGGAAAATAATACAATAATTAATAAATAACAAACCTATGTTTGCCCCACCCTTTATGTCCTCTCGTGATGCTTTAGGTTTGTTTTAAAAAGTGAGATATTTCCATCTTTAAAAATGAAGAATTTATGGTTCAGGTGTGTTTTTTTCAGACTTGTGAAATGAAGCATGCGCAAGGGAGTTCATCTAGCACTGTTTGTTCTAGTGAGAGGTCAGAAGCGCCCACTGTGAACACCAGTGAGTCCCAAGGCCTCCACGTAATAGAATTCTGTTTAAAGCAAAACGAAGAATCTAACAGCCTGAAATGTTTGGATACATTGCAGGGCATGTAAAGTGAAAACAGCGAGGTGTGATCAGCATCAGATGGGCCCATTTGTATGGAAAGTGTATAGACTACCTCTGGAAGGGAACACAGAATAGCAGCCGTGGCTGCCAGGGGGTCAGGGATGGCTGCCTGGGGGGTCAGGGGTGGCTACCTGGGGGTCAAGAATGGAGGGGGAGCAACTTTCTTTTTGCGCTCTTTTGTACCCTTAAGATTTTGTATCATAGTGGCTTCTCTTTAGAAATAGATAGAAAGACAGAAATTTGAAAATGATTTGTTTTTAAAGTAAATCAAAGAATGAAATAATTCTTTTTGAAATGCCTGGGGGAAGGGAGATAAAGGATGACACAGATTTTGTTCCAAACCCTGACTCATGCTGTGACCCACGGGGAAGTCAGTCACTGGCTATCTCTGAGCATCAGTTTCCACCAACTATAAAATGGGCCAAGTCTCCCTGGCTCACTCTCACTGCAAGCAGGGACCAGCGCCACTATGTTAGACAACTCCTGGGTGTGCCAATCACATCATAGTCCATGTGACTGGCGCCTCTTGCAATTGGGCAGTACACAGCTTAGGCAACTGGAGGAGGCAGCCCTGATGTGAGGCTGAGATGAGATAATGCACCAGAGAGATTCGGGTGTCATGAGGGAAAGGGTGTGCATGTGAGTGCATACAGTGTGATAGTACATTCTTCTGAGTGAGTGTGTATTTTCTGCTGACAGGTCCTGTGGACATGAACTTAGGAGACGGGACAATCACTCCCTCCCCCGAGGCTCAGGCTCCAGGGTCCTCTAGGAGTCATGCCTGAGAAGAGAAGGAGCCACACTGGGGGCTGCTAAGGCCTCTCTCTCCACTTTTGGGGGTCCAACCACCAGACAAGCTGTTTCCTCAGGCCTTTCCCACGCTGGCTAAGTCTCCATCCCCAGGGTCATGATGCAAGAGCGGAATTCCTCACACACTAAGACGCTTTCTGCTTTTTGAAGTGCAGAGATCTTAGCCCAGTCAGAGAGAGTTGGGCTCAAATCCCAGCTCTGACACTCAGTATCCCTGGGACCTCTGAGCCTCAGTCTTCTCAGCTATGAAATGGAGATACAAATCATGACTGCCTCATAGGGGTGCTGTGAGGATTAAAGGTCAGGCACACAGTAGGCACTCAGTGGGTGCCCATTCCTGGTATTGGCTCTCGTGACTTCTCATGTGATTGGCCCTCATAATCACAGGGCGATGCACATTTATGAAGATATAAACGAAGAGAGGGAAACACACCAGCTCCTAGCAGTGGTTATCCCAGGAATGGGAGGGTTCCATTAACAGGGGACTTCCACGCATGATTTTTAAATTGGCAAAAACCCCAATAAAGACATTTCCATTCTCAAAATGGAGAAATAACGTTTTTTTAAAAAGAGAGAATAGGTGGGGCACAGAGGATTTTGAGGGCAATGAAACTATCCTGTATGAGACTATAATATAACAAGTGCACCGCTCTGATGCGAGAGGCAATGCATTGTGTGGGGGCAGGGGGTTGTAATTGAAATCTCTGTACCTTCCTCTCAATTTTTCTGTGAACCTAAAAATGCTATAACAAATAAAGTCAACTGAAACCCCCACAACAGGGCACATGTGTGCATTATACAGAAGGGAGCTTCTGAGGCCTGGGAGATACGTCCCTGGCATGGGACAGATAGTGCAGGGAGAACACGGACAGGAGGCCTGAATTTGAGTTCCAGGTATTTCTGCTCCTGGCCGGCTGGGTGCCCAGAACATGGCCAGGGCAGTTAAAACGTCAGGAGGCTTTCTTGCCCGGCCCAGGCTCTCTCATCCACCACACCGCCTCCTCCACATTCAGGGGTTCATGGCACAACCCTTATAAATGAGGAAGATGCCATCACCTTAGACCTTCAACAAGGAGAAAGGTGTCTCGGGTCAAGGCCATAGGGAGAGGAGGAAGACATCCACATGATGACAACCCCAGCCAGCAAGTCCCAGGCCAGTCCCTGAGGGCCACAGCTGACCCCTGGCTGATCTTCAATTCATGTCCCAGCAGCTCAACACGATGGGTCAGAGAGAGCCACATAGCTGACATCAGGCACACAGGGCTGGGCAGCACTGCAGGGCCTCGCCGCCCTCTTCAGGAATGAGGAGGCCAGGAGGCCCACACCCACCTTCTTCCAAGTGGCACACAGCAGCTGCAGCCTCTCGGCTGCCGGGTGACCTTTCCTGGCCCCCACCCTACCTGCCCCATCGGATTCTGATGATCCAGGTCTCTGACAAGCACCAGGTGCTCTCTAGTTTGGGGTCTGTATGACCCAGGAGTGAAGCAGGGGTTTTCAGAATGCACCGGGGCCAAGACTGGGAGACTTCTGGGCAAGTGGGCAAGACGACCACCCCTCAGAAGTGTGCCAGGCCTCCCCCAGGAGCCTCTCAGTCCTGGCCTCCAGAATTCACGAGAGGCATGGTCAGTGGATTCAGAGGAGATGGCAAGACCACCAGGCACCTGGCAGGAAAGGAGCACAGGTGCCTTCTGGATAGCTGGCCAGCCCAAAGTGCACAAGAGGAGGACATTTACAAGCAGTAGCTTTTCTGAGCCTTTTCACCTGACCCAGAGGCAGGAAGCAGGCTCGAGCTAGTGTATGGTAAGTGGGTGGGTCCCGAGGCCCATTTTCAATCCAGCTTTTCCTGGGCCCAGGGGAGTGCCCTTGGGTGAAGCAGCCACTTCTCCCACAGATCGTTGGAGCAGGAACGAGCACCCTGTGGTCAGAGACCACTATTGCCCTACCCAGTTTAGGGACAGGTCGGGGCAAGCAGACGGGGAATCACAGGCAAAAGACCCCTTCAAGAATGGCTGCGAGTGGTTATGGCTGAAAGTTTGTTCAGAGAGTCATGGGTTCGAGTCCTGACTCTGTCCCTTGACCAGTTGTCTTCATGGGCAAATGACTATTTCTCTGAGACTCAGCCTTCATCTGTAAAATGGGGATGATGTAAAAGCCCCTCACAGGAGAGATGCAAAAGTTAGTATGATCCTAAGTGTCAGAACAGCAAACCCTCCTTAAGCCATAGCCCCCTCAGAATCACTACTGTTGCTAGCACCCATTATTAGCTGTAATTACCATCATATGAGCATCTCCTTGTCTTAATCTCCTCATTTGTAAAAGGGCTGACGTTATGAGGTTGCTGGGGGGAGAGGTGGAAGGGGTTCTATGAAAAAGTTCCTGGCACAGAGTGAGCACTCGGTAAATGTTTGCCATGATTGTTATTACTGTTTTATTATCACTATTGTTGTCATCTTAGCCTTAGGAAAGCTCAACAAGCCAGCACAGGCTTCTCCAGGAAGGATACATTCATGCACCCAAAACCGGAAGCGAAGCCATTGGCACAGGTCAGAGCTGGCTGGGTGGCAGAGGTGGGGTGGGACCGGGTCCCTGCTCCCCACTCCTTCATCCCAGTCTCACATCGCCCCCCACCTTCGCCCCATCTGCAGGCTTGTCTGCTCCTCTGGAGCTGGCAGCAGCCCCAGCAGCCAGCCCCGGGCCAGGCAGGCAGGGCCGAGGCGCACCCGGGGCTGCACGTGGGGCGCACTGGTAGGAGCCACGTGTCCTGTCGGCCTGCAGCAGGCCGCCTGGAAGCCCTGGAAGCCGGGCAGGCTGTGGCCGGCAGCTGGCGACCCGGCCTTGCGCGCTTTCTGGGCGTCTTCTGATCCTGCGAGGGCGTCGGGCTGGGAGAGCAAATACCATCCAGCCAGTTGGTTGAGAGCCCTTCTCCCATCTGCCCACAGCCTTCCCAGAATTCTGACTCCCCAAGTCACAGCTTCCGAAGGAAAATCAGAATGGCAGCCGCAATCATCCTCGATGTCTTCCTTTCTTTCTCTGGGCCTCCATATTGCCAGCAACTCCAGTTGACTCTGCAGAACTGAGTCCAAATCCAGTCGCTTTCCCACACCCCTATTGCTCCCTGCACCTAAAACCCGAAGCAAAGCCATTGGCACCTGCGTGTCCAGCCACCACCCTCTTTCCCTGGGACTATTGCAATCACATCCTCATGCCTCCCTCCCCAGCCCCCTTGTCCTGCTACACAGCTGGCACAGCTGCAGCTGGCCGTGTAATTGTTGTAAGCTACCTTTTGTGTTAAAAGGGCAGAAAAAGAACGGGTTGTGTATGAACTTGCATTTGCAAGAGAAAGCCACCCTGTCCTGACAGCTACATAGAGACAGTTTAGAGGTGGAACCTGAAGTTTATAGAGTTGTAGGGTCCCTTAAGAAAAATAATAGAAAATTAGGTACAAACGGTGAGATTTAGAGTAAGAAAAGGAGTCATAAAAAGTTAGAAATTGTGGAAAGCTGAGAAATGCCACAAACATCACAAAATCCAGGAAAAAAACAATAATTTTTTTAATTTTTAAAATTGATTTTTAGAGGACAGAGAGAAACATCGATGAGTTGCCTATCCCGGGCACTTGGACCAGTGATCGAACTGCAACCTGGATATATACCCTGATAGGGAATCAAACCTGCCACCTTTTGGTGTAGCCAATCAACTGAGCCACAATATTTTTTATTAATCAACTGTCTGACATATCTTTATAATCCTTTCCCTCAACAGTTCATTGGTCACCTTCATATGATGACAATGCTGTTGTTTTGTATATAGGGAATTAAAAGATAATTTAGTCTTTCCTTTAACATGACCTGTTGCATAAAGCTTTCACTACTACAGACTGTTTAGGAAAGTTTCCGTTTCACAAGATGTACTTGGAAATGCTTTATATAAACACACACATTTCAGCACCATTGTGAAATTTGGAAAAACCACCGTTAATTTTTTTCATATATGATCAGTTACAGATCATTGATTTGTATATGATTTGTTGTTTTTAGTACAGCCATAAGTTTGTAGTACAGCCCTACAAACACAGATATCTGATCATTGCATTTTGCATGATCTTCTCCAAAGAAAAAAACATGTACTGTGTTCTTTATTGTATAATCTGTGTTATTCAGTCTACTCCCCCAGGACAGAACTTTGGTTTGGACTAGGGGTTAATGACAGCATCAAGAAGCAAACCTTCCATTTACAATTTCATGTCTGATTGGTAGGCAAACTTTCTACAGAATAGCTTCTGGCTCCTTACATTCCAGGCCTGATTTTCCTTCACTTTCTGCACACTTCCTGTGCTGGGTGACATGGAGCGTATTCATATGGTGATACGAACTCTGGGCCAGCATCTCTGAATCATGATCCAGGTGAGTGAGAACCGTGAGCTGTAGGGAAGCCGTCTTCTCCACCAAGGCGGCTGACTTTGAACTACATGCATTTGTATCAGTAAACTCAAATTCAATGTATCCCCAGCTTCACTCCCCCTAAACTGGATCCCCTTAGCTGCTTGCAGGTGAATATTACTTTTGAGAACTTTGCACACATGACTGATGAACATAGGGCTGGGGCTCCCTCTAGCAACAAGAGCACAGAAGGAATCCTAAAAACTTAATTTTTCTGAGTGCTATGGTCTGAATGTGTGTTCCTCCCTTCTCTCACATGCCCCCCCCCCCACTCCCCTCACCCAAATTCATATGTTGAATCTTAATTCCCAAAGGTAATGGTTATTAGGTGGCAGGGCCTTTGGGAGGTGATTAGGTCATGAGGGTGGAGCCTTCATGAATGGGATTAGAAAAAAGAGGCTCCAGAGAACTCCAGAGCCACTTCCACCAGGTTCAGACATAAGAAGTCTGAGACCAGGAAGAGGGCCCTCACATGACCATGCTGATACCCTGGTCTTGGACTTCCAACCTGCAGAACTAAGAGCAATAAATTTCTGCTGTTTATCAGCCACCCAGTCTGTGGTGTTTTGTTATTGCAGCCTGAACAGACTAAGACACTGAGTTTATAGAAAACCCAATTCCTGATCCCAGCTTCCTTATCTGTAAAATGGGATAATGATAATTATATTACCTGCCTTATGAATAAATTATTATATGAAAAGCACTTAGAATGATGGTTGGCACATAGTAGGTGCTTATTAAATATTTGATGACTTGAATGACCAGTGATAGAGACTTGTAAACTATAAAGTAAATGCCATTCAAATTCTTTAGTTCAGTTAAAAGTTGGCATAATCCAAACCAATGTATTGAAGTCCTTGCACAGCAGATTTGTAAAAGCCTGGTTGTAAGAAGGAAAGTAAATTTGTCTGTAGTAACAACTAGAGCTGGGGCTGGGGCTCTCCCCAGAGGGTGCAACTGGGAGCATCTTGAAGTAGTTCCTCAGCCTCCACAAAAGACCTCAGGGATGAGAATCCCACTACCTCTGGAGGCAGCAGGCTCTTTATTCCTCTAAAACTTTCTCCCACCTATACCTCCTCCACTGGCTCTGTGTGCTCCCTCCCTCCACCCTCGTCAAAGAGAAGGCCCAAGCTGACAAGCAGAGATTCCCAAAGATGAGAAACTCACCCTAACCTCGAAATCAGAAAGACTAAGGTGTTTTAAGCTCTCTGTAGGACAAGCAAAGAACCAAGAAGGAGTCTAGGAAGACATCTAGAGAAAGAGGGGAGAAATGTGGACAAAGAGAGAAGCCATCCCACGAAGAGGTAGAAAGAAAGAGCAAGGGACAAGGCAGGATGGGGGCAGGGGGAGGGGGAAAGGGGCTTGGTGAGCTTAGAAGGAGCTGACCTGGCTTCATTCTCCTTACAAACATTGTTCAGCATCAGCAAATGTTTATTAGACACCTGTGCTTTAAGACACAGTGGTGAGCAAAACAGAAAAAAAATCTCTGCTCTCATGAAGCTTAGATTTTTTTAAATATATTTTTTATTGATTAAGATATTACATATGTGTCCTTATCCCCACGTTACCCCCTACCCCCCACCACCCCCACCCCCCGCTCATGCCCTCACCACCCCCCCTTGTCCGTGTCCATTGGTTAGGCCTATATGCTTGCATATAAGTCCTTTGGTTGATCTTTCCCCCTTACCTCCACCCTCCCCTACCTTCCCTCCAAGGCCCGACAGTCCAATCAATGCCTCTCCGTCTCTGGATCAGTCCTTGTTCATCAGTTTATGTTGTTCATTATATTCCACAAATGAGTGAGATCATGTGGTATTTATCCTTCTCTGACTGGCTTATTTTACTTAGCATAATGCTCTCCAGTTCCATCCATGCTGTGGCAAATGGTAAGAGTTCCTTTTTCTTCTTCCTCTTCTTAAAGAATACCTTTCAGCATTTCATATATTGCTGGTTTGGTGGTGATGAACTCCTTTAGCTTTTTCTTATCTGTGAAGCTCTTTATCTTACCTTCTATTCTGAATGATAGCTTTGCTGGATAAAGTAATCTTGGTTGTAGGTTCTTGCTATTCATCACTTTGAATATTTCTTGCCACTCTCTTCTGGCCTGCATGGTTTCTGTTGAGAAATCAGCTGACAGTCGTATGGGTACTCCCTTGTAGGTAACTGACTTTCTTTCTCGCTGCTTTTAAGATTCACTCTTTGTCTTTTGCTCTTGGCATTTTAATTATGATGTGTCTTGGTGTGGTCCTCTTTGGGTTCCTTTGGTTTGGGGTTCTCTGCGCTTCCTGGACTTGTAAGTCTATTTATTTCACCAGGTGGGGGAAATTTTCTGTCATTATTTCTTCAAATAGGTTTTCAATATCTTGCCCTCTCTCTTCTTCTGGTATCCCTATAATTCTGATGTTGGTACGCTTGAAGTTGTCCCAGAGGCTTCTTACACTATCTTCATATTTTTGGATTCTTTTTTCTTTTTGCTTCTTTGGTTGGGTATTTTTTGTTTCTTCGTATTTCAAATCTTTGACTTGATTCTTGGGATCCTCTTGTCTGCTGTTGGATCTCTGTATATTATTCTTTATTTCAGTCAGTGTATGCTTAATTTCTAGTTGGTCTTTTTTCATATCCTCCAGGGTCTCACTAAATTTATCGGCGGTTTCCATAAAATTCTTGAAAAACCTTATAAAACGTGGTTTTGAACTCTATATCCAGTCGTTTGCTTTCCTCCATTTCTGTCATTTGTGACCTGTTTCTTTGTCTCCGCATTTTTTATGCTTCCCTGTGTTGGTAGAGTGGTTTTGTGTGCTAGGTGTCCTGTAGGGCCCAGTGGCTCAGCCTCCCCAGTTACCTGAGGTGGACACTCTTGGTGCACCCCCTTGTGGGCTTTGTGCACAGTCTTGTTGTAGCTATGCCTTGATTGTTGTAGGTATCACTGGGAGGAATTGACCTCCAGGCCAATTGGCAGTGAGAGTCAGCTGTATCTGCAGTGGGAGAGCTTCTGTGCTGAAGACACCCTTCTGGGGCAAGACTTGCTTCAGTGGGGCTTTAGTGCTCACTGAGACTGCCCCCTGAGTGTGTCCCTTATGGATCTGAGGAGTTGTAATCTGGATGGTCCCACTCTGACCACTGGGTACAGTGGCTCTTGGATCTAAGGAAGTGCTAATTTAGTCTCTGCCTGAGGCTACCCAGCAGGAGCTACGAAAAGATCTGCAGATTCCCCTTCCTTTTTTGGAGTTTGGAGGTGCCCAGATGAGGCCCAGCTGTGAAGCAATGCAAGCTGCTGTGGGGCCTTGGACCTTCTCTTGGAAGTTCCGGGTCTGTCTGGCCCAGCTGTAATTTGTTAGGTAATTTTCAGGTTGCAAAGGGCCAGGGCATTCATATGCAAAAGCCTCTGCCGCAGCCTGGGTGGGGCGGGGTCTCAAGGAATCAACAGGGCAGAGCAAGCAGCTATGGCTGATCCTCGGCCCTGCCCTAAGGGGCCGCGCGTCTCAGTGTCCCAGTAATTTAATTGCTGCAAGCACCTCTGAGAGAAAGCCACCCTGGAGTTCCGAGTTCTGGCCGCTGCCAGACAGTCCAGTTTCTCCCCGTATGAGTCCTGGGTCCCCAGAGACTTCCCGTAACTGGAGTTCAGAGCAGTCGGGAGCTTGTGACTCCCTCCCGATTCAAAAAGACAGCCGCGTCCTCAGGTACCAGCCCCTTTCAGCGCGCTCGAGCCTCTGTACCTTTGCACTTTACTTCCGCAGCTCCTGACCCTCAGCATGCTGTTCTCTTTCCTTCTAGTTGTAGAATTTCCACTCAGCTGGCCTTCCTGTAGTTCTGGATGATGTCCGTTTTGTCTTTTTGTTGTATTTTTGAAGTTGTTGTAGGAGGCAGCAATTTCGGTGTTTACCTATGCCACCATCTTCGGTTCTCCGAAGCTTAGATTTTGATGGTGGAGACAGAATATAGACAAGTGAGCAAAGAAATAAAGCATAAAAAAGCAATAAGGACACTACAGAAAATTAAGACAGGGTGAGGTGGTCCGAAGTGCCAGGGGCTACACTGAAGAAGTGACATTTGTGCAGAGACCAGACGCATGAGAAGGAGCCAGTCGTGGAAAGATGAGGGGAGAGCATTCCAGGGAGAGGAAGAGCAAGTGCCATGGTCCTGAGGTGGGCACAGGCCTGGCACATCCAGGGAACAGCACGGAGTGGTGTGAGCTTGGGAGTGTGGCAGGGGGCCATCTTAGATTGGCAGGCAGGACATAAAGAATATTTTTAACCAGAATACTAAACATGACTTTTTTCTAAGTACATGGGATTTCAAAGAAAGTACCATATTCTAGTGTTCAAATGGCCTGGCCACTTTTCAGAGTAGTGTTGAGCCTGGCCGGCATGGCTCAGTGGTTGAGTATCGACCTATCAACCAGGAGGTCATGGTTTGATTCCCAGTCAGGGAACATGCCTGGGTTGCTGGCTCGATCCCCAGTGGTGGGTGTGCAGGAGGCAGCCAATCAATGATTCTCTTTCATCATTGATGTTTCTAACTCTCCCACCGTCTCCCTACCTCTCTGAAATCAATAAAAATATTTTTTAAAAATAAAGTAGTGTTGAGAGAGAAATCAAGCATTTAGAGAGCACCCACTAGGAGCCAGGCTCTGGAACGGGGTCTTTCACAGCCATTTTCCCATTTGATCCTCTCTTTCTCTCTCTCTCTCTCTCTCAAATCTATGAAATATATATACGTATGTATATATATTTCATATATATATACATACGTATATATATTTCATATATATTTCAGAGAGAGAGAGAGAAATGTCAATGATGAGACAGAATCATTGATTATGGGCTGGGGATCGAGCCTACAACCCTGGGTACGTGCCCTTGATCAGAATCAAACCCGGGACCCCTCAGTCCACAGGCCGATGCTCTAGCCACTGAGGCAAATCAAGTAGGGCCCCATTTGATTCTTAAATGGCAATGGGCCACCTGATTTCCATTTTACAGCTGATCCAACGGAAGCCCAGAAAGGTGAAGTGATGCATCCCACCTTACAGAGCTAGAAAGTGGCTGAGCCCAAGTCTGGCTCCTGTTCAGCTGTGACACAACTACGCAGCACTTCCTAAAATGGGTGTGGATTCTTTACGGCTAATCTAGTGCTTTTTATCTGCACTTTATCTCATGTGCTATTACTGAGTGTTCTCACCTCTGCAATGGCCTGGGAAATGTTTCTGAGACCTTGAACAACTAGTCACAGCTCTGAAGCTGCTCTTTAGCCTCATTTTCAGCAACTTCTCTCTGAAGTGGGTCACTGTGACTCGAACTCAGAGTTGGATCCAGCTAGCACCAGTGGAAGCTAGAGGAAGGCTGCTGCTCGCCCTTACAGTCTTCATGCAAATCAAAAAAGGGCTTCCTGCCCTGACCGGTTTGGCTCAGTGGATAGAGCGTCAGCCTGCGGACTGAAAGGTCCCAGGTTCGATTTCGGTCAAGGGCATGTACCTTGGTTGCAGGCACATCCCCAGTAGGGGGTTGTGAAGGAGGCAGCTGGTTGATGTTTCTCTCTCATCGATGTTTCTAACTCTCTATCCCTCTCCCTTCCTCTCTGTAAGAAATCAATTTAAAAAAAAAAGGGGGGGGGGGCTTCCTTTGTTCAAGACACTTGGCTTCTAGCTTCCAGAAAAGTGGTGTAATAACCATTCTTTCACAGCATCCTTGGAAGCCATCTTTAATAACTTAGCTTCACACATGTGAATCGCTGCTATCTTCGATGTGAGGGCTTAGATATGGTGCCCTTATGCAGGGCACAACCTGAATGGCTGTAGTGATTTTCCACACCCCTGCATAAAATATTTAAAGGGGAAAGCTATGAGCCCCAGCAGAAAGGAGATCCATGTGGAAGTGGCTACACCAGACCACACACAAACACATGCTGTGCCCCATTGGTAACCGTGACTGCCCAGATTTTCCTAGAACTGCCCAGCCCATCAGAACATTGGATTCAAGTTCACCTCATCACCATGCTCTCCACCCTCTATGCCACTGTTCTCTCCCACCCCATTGCATATGCACCTGCTCCAGGGTGTGAAATGTCCTGGGCAGCACTGGCTGCCCACGCAAGTTCTCCAGGCACTGTGAGATGAGGCCCCGGAACTGTCCCCCTGCAACAATCCCCCATCTCAATTGTGGGTACTGTGGACTCCAGCACTCACCAACCCCATGGCCCCATGTGGCCAGTACCACCTCTGAATGCCAGGGACTCATCTTTGCAGTCTTCCAACTCCTAAATTTAGAAGCGTGGATTAAATCCAAATAAATGCAGAGTTATGTAACTTCATGTCCCTC